GAGGGATAAGGGGATGGATTTCTTTCAATAGGAGGTTTTCCAAGGGAAATGAGAATAAGGGGAAAGGGAAAGGGAAATGAAAGGGATTAAGATATGCTAGGTATAGGAGCCTAATAATCCCAATTAATGTAAACATTATATGCCATAACATGAGACAAAACAACTAATATCGACAAGTATGAAAAAGAGGATAGGAGAAACTGGAGGTAGGGAGAGGGAAAAGGAATTAAAAATGAAAAGAGACCAAGTTAGAATATGTACATATAACCACTCCCAAGATGACTGTAAACTGCATGAATTGCAAACATTTACTAATAAAATTTTTTAAAAATATTTAAATGAAATCAAGAATTAAAGACACTAGAATGTAGGAGAGGATTAGCAGTTATAAAGGATTGTGTGTGACCTATAATACAACAAAACCAAAATTGTGTGGTCTGGTTCTCCAAACAATGTAACAAATTCTTCCTCAAGTTTGTTATAAATTGAGAAAGGGATGGTCAATTGGGCAATGACTTATTATTTGGCATTCACACAGCCTTGTCATATCCTGTTGGCTGAAGAGACAGTCTATATCCACACAGCAGCAGTAAATCATATTAGCAGTCAGCATTAAGAAGAAAAACAAGACCAAATACTCCATCCAGACTGCAGTATTCCTACCAAACAGCATACATAACTTATCATGCCCCTGACAGGACAAACAGGCAAAATCAAGAGAAAATAAAGGAAAATGTTCTCTTCCGAGAAAACAAATTCTTCCCAAGTGACAAGTTCAATTTACTATTGCATTTTGTGAACATTTTTTCTCAACTCCTCTTTATCAAAAGACAAAAATATGAACAAATATATTGAAATCTATAAGACCAGTAATGGATCACCTCATTCTGGCCACCTGTAAAAGAGACAAATGAAACATTTCAGTACAGAAAAGTTTCTAAGTTTGTGCTCTTATCCTTAGTCTTCACACTTCTAAAACTATTTAATATCCATCATCTTATAAAATCCTCAAAGAGAACGCCCATGACTCGTATTCATATTTTGACATAATGTCTGTCAATGCAGATATCCTGCACATTTTCTTGTTTTTATGCTAGGATTCTCTTTACTTTGCTGATAGTACTTAGAAGTGACCTGTGTTTCTCCTCACTGTGTATTTGCTTTTTCAAAGGTTTCTGCTGACATCTGAAGAGAGGCAGGAAGCCATGAACAAACAATCAGGATTATGGTTCACAATATTCTACTGTGAGTCCAAGTCTCTGTGAATACAACACACTTGAAAAGGGAGGTGCCTGTAATGCATTTCTAAAGAAGAATGTTGGAAAGTACAGGGCACATGATTTGCTAAGCAGCCTTATTGTGCCGATATTATTGACACATAAGGATGAAACTGAAGAAAGGAATTCAGTCAGTGTTTGCCCAAGGTCAGACAGCGTGCTGGTTCAGCCTGGTCTAAAACTCAACGCCCCAACCAACCCAGTGCTCAAAGAAAGAAAGCACTATTGTAGCTTCTTGGTCCTCTGTCATCCCTAGGTGCAGACTCTCTCAGTTATTCATCTCTCCAGGCCTGAAGTCACCCCTTTTTGTGACAGAGATAACGTTTCTCTGTGAGGAAAATTTTCCCTAATAATTAAAGAGTTTAACCACAAAAGAAAGACTTGTGAAGTCCAAACCTCTTCCCTATTTGTTTTCTTTTCTCTTGATCTCAGTGGTAAATCTGAAACAGAGAGCAATAAGAGACAAAGACAGAAAAACAAAAATAACAAAGAAAAGATATTAGGTAATATATGATTCCCTGGATGAGGATTTACATCCTCTGAGTGAATATATTTCTTAGAGGAAAATTTTTCATCACAGTATAAAATTTTAGTGTTTTCCAGAATGTGATCTATATTTGGAGCCTAACTCCTCACAGGTGATGAACAATTCCATCAAAGTTGTGCAGCTAGTATGTGACAGATGCAGACTTAAAACGAGAGTGGTTGGTTCATTCATTCATTGGTTCATTCACTCATTCATGTAATCAGGCTGTGCTGTCTACAAGACCTCCTTTCACTGACTTCATACTGCTGTTAGGATAAAATGCAGATTTCAGGACCAGTTTTGCAGCCCATCTCTTCCTTCTGTCTCCCATTTCTGCTCCCACCTTCAGTGGCATTCAGGCATCTGGCTTTCCTTCTGTTCTACAAACCTGCTGTCTCCTTCCTTCCACATAACCTTTCCACTGTCTATAACTTGCCTGAGATGCTCTTCTGCTGGACCTCCTCACGGCTGGTGTGTCTTCATCATTAAAAGCTATCTACTTCCAAAGGTACTGACAGGCCACGAAGTGCAAGCCTCACTGTATTGTGCTCTAACATGCTGGCCCTCTCTTCCCATCATAGAGTTTACACATTCACTCTTATGTATGTACTTGTTTCCTTATATTTTGTTTTTCTCTTGTCTGGAATGTATGTTGTGTGACAGGAAATAAAATAACAGATCTCATGTGTTTACTGCTATATATACAGCACCTGGAATACAGTAGATACCTAATAAACAATTCTTAAACTACATCTCCCATAAATTTTCAAATATGTTCAATAAACATTACACACCGCACCAGAGATTCAAAAAACAAAACAAAAACATTTCTTACCTTAGTCAAACCAGGTATCTTTAGGCAAGTGATTTTCTACTGTATTACACATCTACTGAATTACACATCTATTGAATTTCACTTCAGATTTCACTCAGTATTCCTAGAGATTCAGGTCACCTCATTTTCAAAATTAGTTTTCCTTTGTGATTCCAGATTATTCATTGGTGAAGTGACTATTATGCTTCTTATTTTGTATTTTTGTGGCTGTGACCCTGCCATTGTCATTGTTAGTGTTCTCTTTTGCTCTCGGAAGTATCTACATTTAGATGAATATATGATTGTGTTCTTCATTGGTCAATCAATTCAAAATAATTAATAATTAATGCTAGCTAGGATCGTTTAACTACATCAGCTACACCAAGTTAAGCATACAGCAGGTCAAGTCATATTTCTGGCAATCAAAAACTTCCTAAGTTAAAAATAAGAGACTGGGGGCTAGGGATTTAGCTCAGAGGCATAAGCACCTGCCTTGCAAGCAGGCAGTCATGAGTTTGATCCTGGTACTGATAAAAAACGAAAAAGACAAAAAAAAAAAAAAAGAGAGAGAGAGAGACTCATGGACCTAGTGCTAATTAGTAAGCCCACAAGATTCCTAAAGATATGTTGACGTGTTCCAGGAAGAGAAAAAAAAAATGTTATATTGAAGTATAAAGTAGGTGGAGCTCTTTATCTCAACACAAACTGCTCTGAAACTTTATTTGCATCTCCTCATAAATATTATTATGATTTCTCTTTTTAAAATAATGAAATTGAGACATGCAGAGGTTAAGTAACTCATCCAATGACCAGAAGATGTGAAGCTCAGGAGTAGGATATATCGTTGTCATCTTTTGCCCAACTATCATGCCCAAGACTTCTCAAACAGACCTAAGGTTACTGTACTTAAGTAGATTTTGGAGGTGCTAGGTTAAACAGTGTTAGGTTGCTTTTCTACAGGACTGTTGGGTGTCTGTAATACACCTAAGTACTTGATACCATAGTTATCCAAGGGAAGATATCTGCATCATTTGGGTAAGCAGGGCCAAAGCTCTCCAGAACAAACTGCAAATGGTCCTCTGAAAACCCTAGCAGGGCAACCTATACCCTTCTGTGTACAGCAGACAAATACATCCTGTGTACAGCACTTTCCTTTGGAAGAAGGTTCCAGTGTTCTCAGCTCTAAAAGAAAGAGAAGTTTATCCCAGAATCCCCTAAACTTCACGGTCTGACCATCTGTTATTTATATCAAGGCTTTTAACTACCGTTCATTATGTCTCTTCCAGTTCTACACTAAACTTTTCACCTCAACTTCTTACCTACAGGTCAAGAAGTTTCTACAGGGGATCTGTAAGTTAGTTTGGGCCAAGGTCCTTACTTCAATTTAATAAGTGAAAACTGCCATTTGCCGTTTGGGGTACTGGAGATGAAGATCATGTTCTTAAAGAGACAGAGAGAGAGAGAGAGAGAGAGAGAGAGAGAGAGAGAGAGAGAGAGAGAGAGAGAGAGAGATGGGCTATTTTGGTCTTTCCTAAGACTGCTTGAGTGGAAGAAGTGTAAGACCAGGAAAATGGATGTGGAGGTGACCTAGAGGTGGAAGCCTTCTGAGTGCAGCCACGGGTGCTTTGACTTTTGAAAGACAGAGGATAGGGATACAGGAAATAAGGACAGAATCCCTCCCTCCAAATCTTGCTGCAATGCAGGCAGTAGGTGCAACTTCTGATGCTGTTTGGGTCCCTCGTGCAGTGGGTCCCTTGGGTCCCTCTGCCACTCAGTTATAAGCATCTTCCACTTCTCCTCTCTTCTCCCACTCCCTTGACGCACTTCATTCCTCAAAACTTTTCTTCCTCCTCCTGAAAGACTAAAATTGACAGGTCTGGCAGTGCAGTACACTCGCTTCCCAAACAACCTCAACTGTTTCATAGCATATGCACCTGACGCAGACTCTTTTTATTTTTTTAATGCAACAACTTTACCCTTCTGCATCCAAGATTTGTTTCTCACATTATGCTCTGACTGGGGTGGGAAATCATTTTTTTTTTTTCATAATTTCTGAGGCTTCTGAAAGGAACTCACATAAGGCCACCCTAAAGGAATTCTGATGCAAATTGCTATGCACAGATAGCAGGGGTGGTTTTTTTTTTTTTTTTTTTTTTTTTTCTGTTTTGTTTTGTTCATCTCCTCCTGGATTTGCACAGTCGTATCCATCATCAAATCGTGTTTGGGGCCTTCAAATTGAACTAAAGCTGTCCTCTGAAATGCATCCTGCACCATCACCCTAGAGGGCGCGCTTCCTACATTTTCTGCAAGCAGCGAGACAGCGCTCGCTCCCAAGCTCCATAAAAGGGGAGGAGGCGGATCAGTTCCCTTCTCTCATTGAGAACGGAGAGGATTGGAAGGCCGGGCGTATAAAGCCGCGCAGAGAGCGTGAAACAAAGCAGTCGGATCGGAATTGGACTTGGGAGGCGCAGCGTGGAGTCAAGCATAAAACTTGTCGGAGAGGAGTAACGAGCTGACTCCTCTGGTTCTCCTCTTCGTCTGCGTTGCGCTTCAAGGGGTTCCCACCAGCCTTGCGATTTATTTTTATATCTTTTTATAGAAAGAAATATATATATATATATTTTCTTCTTAAGAGAACATTCCTGTTCCAAGAGACTGTAAGGCAACATCAATGAAGGAGAGAAGAGCCAGCCAAAAATTATCTAGCAAATCTATCATGGATCCTAATCAGAACGTGAAATGCAAGATAGTCGTGGTGGGAGACAGTCAGTGTGGGAAAACCGCGCTGCTGCACGTCTTCGCCAAGGACTGCTTCCCCGAGGTGAGTGGGGTCGGCCGGGTTTCTGGGGCTGCCCGTGGGGATCCCCGCTTTCGAGATAAGCTTCCCTTGCTTCTTTCTCTCCTTTCACCCCACACGTTTTTTGTCTTTTTTTTTTTTTTGAATCGGCTTTCTCACCCCTGTCTGTCTTCCCCCAGGTCCGACTGCTCGGAAAGGGAAAGTGCGCTGGAAGCGTGTGGGGTTGGGGCGCGCCGCCCGGGGAGCTGATAGCTCCGAAACTTCTTCGCTTGCTCGCGGAGCCGGGGGGTGGGGAGACTTAGGTCAACCTGTCTTTGAGAGCCCAGCGGGGATGAGGGTTTCGGAAGGGTGCGGCTTTTATTTTAAATGGGGGAATTAAGGGGTTCAATTTTCAGAGTGTTCGATGAGTGACGTGTATTTTAAAATAACCTCTTTGCTCCCTTTCTTTCCTCTCCTGCCCATTCTGTTTGTCTAGAATTACGTCCCCACTGTGTTCGAGAATTACACAGCCAGTTTTGAAATCGACACACAAAGAATAGAGTTGAGCCTGTGGGACACTTCGGGTAAGAATCACCCGACCGCGTGGCGCTCGGGGCGGGTTTCAGGGTCGCGGCGGGAGTGCGCGGCGGCTCTCGGGACCCAGCGCGCCACAGCTCCCGCGCGCCTCCTTTAATTTTGCCCCTCCGACGGATTCCCACGGTTCCCGCTGGAGGAAAATTTTATGCCTTCTGGGTAGGGGCGGGGGGCGACCGCGGGAGGAGGTGGGGTGGCAGTGGGGAGAGGAGAGCGCCATGTGCCCGCAGGGTGACCCCGAGGTTGGAACCGCGTGTGGTCAGGCAGCACCGCAGTCTGCCCTTGGACCGCGCCCGAGTCGCCCGCCCCAAGGCGGTCCCGAGGCCCGGCGTAGGGGGAGTGCCTGTGTCCCCGCGGAAGCACCCGTCTCTAGAGGCACGCGCCCAGCTACCGTCCTGCAGTTTGGCGGGGAGGCGGGGAGCTCGAGCGGCCGTGGGAGGTGGTGGAAAATCCCTGCAGCGTCGCAGTTACCTGCGTATTTCATGCTTGGAGAGAGTTAGCAGTAAACCCAGGCTGCCAAGGCGCGGTGATGTCTCCTCCCAGGAATGCGCCAGGCGGCAGCAGCCCTGGCTCCTCCTCGCCCAGCCCGCACTGCCTCGGTGCCTACCCGCACCTTAGCTCCCCACCTCGTCCTGTCCTGCTGTTGTTCACATCTTGGTCTCTGGACCTTCCCAGTCCCTTCCTAACGCTGTTGCACCACCCTCAGTCCTCCTGCAGGGCTGCGGGCAACACTGTTCGCCTTTGACCTTCCTGTCGACTTGAATTATTAGCGTCCTGGTAGGTTATTTTCAAAGGTCTGGGGTTCAAAGGCAGGTTATTGCCTTCCCATGCGCCCACCCACCTACCTGGCATGCGGTAGCAGAGTGGATGAAATACACCCGGTGGGCCGGCTCTAGCTCCATGTTGAATTCGGGGTTTGGGCCAAGTCAAGGACGGTGGGGGTAGGCCACCACCCAGAATCTGGGGATAGGACCTGAGCTTCTCAGCATTGCCCAATGCGAGAGCACGCTGTTTGCAGGAAAATAAATAATCAAATAAATAACAATAATAAAAAGGCGGATCTTCTGTGCTAGAGCTGGAGCTGGAGCTACCAGGCAGGCACGTGCACGGCCTCTGTGCGCGGGGTGCTGGGCCGCAGGGGGACCCAGCCAAATCCTGGGCGAAACTCGCGAGGAGGAGCGCAGGAGCGCACAAGTGCCAACACGCAGGCTCGGCCGTCTGGCAGGGAGGCCCGAGGTGGAGCCCGCTCCCGGGAGCGGCCTGCTGGAGGTGCTTCTGTGGGATTCCCACAGCCCTCGGTTTGAGTATCTGCAGCCAGGTGGAGACGAGGGGGATTGGAGAGCAGGCGAGGGGGGAAGGGGCCAGACACATAGGGTCGCCAGAGGCAGTTCCCTCACAAAGGGCAGGGAGAAGTCTCACACGAGCGCCTCCCACGGTCTGTGCCAGATGCAGTGAGAAAGGCCGATTAAATTTCTCCCCGGAGAGCTAGGCTCTTCCTCCCAGCTGCGCCAAGGGCAGCTGAACCTGGACCTAGCTGCTTTGTGTTTTGTGCTGGGGCTTGCACACTAACAGACCTGATACTGTAGAGAAGGTGTTGACGGATTCAATTGCAGTGGTTTCTTATTCAGTAATTCCAATCATCTGAATTATTATCCAGCCTAATATTTAATGGGCTGCATTTTCCGGACATAGCATGGTAATTATGCCTTGTGGGCAGGACAGCTGGTTGGGTACCAAAAATTAGCACCGGTACTCCCTCCCTAGCCCTGTTCAAACCTAATGCTTGATAAGAATGATTTAGGCCTGGGATGGGGCAGTGAGTCTGTTCCAGTCGTAGATAAGATGTATTGAGATTTTAGCTTCTGGTTACAACGGATTTCTGCATGCAAATCCTCTACTTCCCTGGTTCTTATATTCATCATCTGTAGAAGGGATCCAGAGCTACATAATGTACAGGGTCTCTCCCAACTCTTCTCTTCTTGGCTTTAATACATGTGGCAAAAAGAGTCTTTTTGTTTCTTAGGATGTTAGTTGGCATCAGCTGTTAGTCCCAGTGGACCTGGTATCCAGTGCTAGGGTTTTCAGTGCCTACAAAGCAAACCAAGCTCTGGGCAGGGTGAGGCTTCCTGGTGAATTTAGGAATGAGACTCAGGAGGGAGAATGGATGGGCTTGTAGGAATGTTAGGTCTTGATCCCTGTTTCAAATTTCAGGGGTTTCAGGACCACCAGTGAAGAGTGCAGATTAGGTATCCAAAGAATGAAATAGACCTTTTTTTTAAGGAAGGAAAAGATATATTTCTCAAACTTTGAAAAATGAAACAAGCAAAATGTAGACAATTTATTGTTGGAGGCTGTCCTTGGAACATGCAGATAAAAGTCACTTCAAATATTTTGACAAACAATACAAACTCTAGTTTATAATCTCTAACACATAGCATAATGTCTTACACGCAGTACTCACCCAATAAAATCTGATGGGTAAACAAATAAATAATATATGTCTTTCTAAAGATGAGTTTTTCTGAATTTTATTACCATTGAATTACCTATACTCCAAGAATGACAACTTATAGATACTAACATCAAATTCATCAAATTAAATTAATCATAAGCAAATTAAACAATCACTTGGAATGAAGTTTATAATGAAATAATCACTGGTATATTTTTAATAAAACAAAAACATAGCATACGTTTAAAATATGGTTTGAAAACTGATTAGCAACTGTTGTACTGCACGATTATTCTTTAATGAAGTCTTGAATTTAGATTTGTACAAATAGGAGAAAGAGACATAGGAAATTACTTAGACTTCTATTATGTTGCTTGTGGGGTGAAATACTAATTCAATAGTCGACAAGTAGTTTAAATTCTAAGAACAACCTGTTTTGACCAAAGATGGTTTGTCATTCATGAATAAAATACATCCAGCAGGAATCACTGCATCAGCAACTAATTATTCTGAGTACCTTTTAACATTTTTCCATTTCATTCCAAGTTTTTCAAGGCAAATTTCTAAACAGAATTTCTTTGTCAAGTGTTCGATATTTTCTTTGCTCACAAAGACATGTGCTTAGCCCAGGTTGTGAAGATAACTGCATACACATAGCTTTTGATGCGTTTTTTTTCCTCGACTGCTTTTAGTTTAACTCTGAAGAGAAACACCCAAGCCAAGTCCATAAAATCCTTAATGTCAATCATTTTCTTCCAAGAACTTTGTGAAAGAGATTGGAGAGATTGGAGGTAGCTAAGGACTGTTTCATAGAGATGGTATAAATTCTGTCCTTGGGAATTCCTGTTTCATTCAGTTGAGGGGGAGCCATTTAGGAGTCAGAAGTGTTCCTCCCTTATCTGGCCTTTGTTCTTATAAGGGATCAACTTTTTCCTCAGCAGATAAATGATTATGCGTAGGCAGAATGTCAATTTAGATGCAGAAAGAACAGTGAGTGAAAGTTGGATGTGTGGGGTGTCTTTGTATGAAGAACCAACAGGTAAATCATTCATTCCTCACTTTTCAAAGCCCATTAATTTATTATTTCCTTCCTTTCTCTCTCCCTTCCCTCTTTCTGCATCTATTATAAGTAGATCCTCTGTTAGACCTTAGACCTTGCTAAGTATAGGGATAGAAAGTTTTCATTTAGTGTGTCTCTTTGCCTTTAAAGATTCCAGTATTGTCAAAATCCTAAACCCTGATGTCCAGTTCCACTTGATTGCTAAATATATTTCCCTTATCTGGCTTCTAGGTTTTTGTTGCTGTTATTGTTTTTATTTCATTTTATATAGATCCTCTAGAACTTCAGGTAGAAAACAGCACATTCCACCCCCCACCCCACCCCACCCGGCCCAAGCACATAGCAGTTAAACAACCAGAAATGGCACTTTGTCAGTTGACTAATTGTGGCTTATGGAAGTACTTCTCATCCCTAAGGAAACAAAACTTTTGAAAAAAAGCCATGGGAATCATCTAAGAGGGGAGACTGTAAAAGATAGTTACAGCACAGGTAGTTTCTGTAACTTGTTTGTTTTATTAAAAATTTCCTTTTCATTATAAAAGAAACACTTTTGCAGTAATACGTTCAGAAATGCACCGAATGATTATCAAATTCCCTCGATGAGTTTCTGCACAACAGTGGGTAATGGTTTCAACGTTTCAAAGTGACAAGTGAGACCAAAGTAGTTCTAGTGTTTTGTACTTCAAAATCTGCCACATTTGCCAAGCACAGAAGTGATTTGTAGCATGAGGACAAATGCCTACTAATAATAGAAACTTAGTCATTTAAGAATCACTACCTTTTCCTAGGAGATCTGATTGTAGCGTAATTTTGGCACATGTGATTGAGAGAATAATAATCATTTATGCCAGCTTTTAACCAAACCAAGCTAATGTACATTTTATTTAAGGTGTATTATTAGTTTTAAATCACTCGATTCAGCTGCTAAAATTCCCCCCAATAAGTGTGATTGCCTCGTGAGCACTTCTTTGAATCTTGTGGTGGGACAGACTTCTTTTAGACTTCTAAGTGCTAAACTTAGCATTTCCTATTTAAATTTTTAGCATTATTAGCAGTGAATATAATATTTTTAAAAATTTCTATTTAAAGAGTTTGGAAAGAAAAAGCTGATTTACCTCATGGCCTTATTTTCAGGACAAACTCCTCTATACATGTAACTCTGTGCACATTGTTGCATGTATAGCTCAGATGTTGAGTTTGAGCAAAGACCTTGGTGGCAAGTGTGCTAATGAAGTAGTTCTTAACAGAAATGGAAATAGTTCAGCAGTTTTGAACATTAGTATGTAATTAATCCAGGCAGGCAACTTAAAAAGACATCATTAGTTTTTTTTTTTTTTTTTTTTTTTTTTTTTTTTTTTGTGGCTTAACATACAGATGAATACATATGAGCAAGGTGTAAGCTGTGAGTATGAAATGAGCTAATTTGCATAAGAGAATACTGTGCAGATGCTGTTCTTGCTGTGGAGAGGAGGGAGCCTGGGAGGGGGTTCCAAGCTGGGCAGGAGCAGCTTCTGCCCTCAGGATGCTCACAGTCTAATTAAGGTGACAGAATAAGCTGAAGTAATGAAAATATAGGTGGCAATAACATTAGAAATGCTCAGGCTTTTCCAAAGTAACAAAAAAATCAGATGTGGAACCTAGATCAAGTGTCAGGAGTTTAGGTGGGAGGAAGTTCCGGTGAACAGGAAAAGGGGTTACTGTGAACAGGAAAGGGGGTCCATTGAGAGCTCTTCATCTGGCAGCCTTCTGAGAATACCCCAGGACAGATGGAGACGTGGAAGTACAAGAGAGATTACCTGAGGTGTGGAAGCTGAAATCACCATGGCAGGACCATGCTGATCCCAGGCAGTTGCTGAAGGCCACATGGTCAGCTCAATTCCTGCAGGTCTTCCTGCTCACTGAAGCTACCCGAGTCCCCTTTCTCCTCTATACATGGACCTAGTTCTTTGTGGCTTCCAGTTGGAAACAAGCTTAGTCTTTATAGCTTCCAGGGAAAGCAACATTCTGAAAGTTAAGAAGTTCAAGTTAAGTGAACCTTCTTAGAGCAAGAGAGGGTGTAAATTTAAAAAGGAGTCAGAAAAGCGCAGGTACTTGTGATACATCAAGAGAAAAATTGCAGAAAATCAGGTACTTCATTAAGTAGTATCTATCTCAAGAGCTTAAGGTTTGCAAGCCAGGTTCTTGACTTTCATGCTTTGTAAGAGACATAGGCTAAGGCAAAACAGATAGCCATGGATGGTGAGTGGTTTCTTCCATTTGGAGATTTATCTAGTAGGTAATTTTTTCCAATTAAATAATGAAAACCTGCCCTCAGAATCAGGAGGAGGCATGAATTGCTAAGTCTTCATTTGCTTCCAAGTACTTTTTAAAAATCTCATTTAGTGCTAGAATTTTTTCCAATCTGGTTCCTTGCTAAATTGCGTGTGTCAGTGAGGTATCCAGATTGGTCATGCTGATGCCACATGAAATAACCAGATGTTTTTTCATTAATCTAGTTCTTTTGCATGTAAATATGACACGGAGGACTAATAGTTTCTCTAGTTAGCTGTGCTATGCCAAATAAATTATCTGTGCCTCAGTTAAATTCTGATGTCCTCGAAATGTCTTTTTAGTTACTTTCTCAGAGGCCCTGTAAGGGGGGGGGGGCTGACATGCATGTAAGCTGCTTCAAAAATCTCATCAGGTGTTGTGCACATTTTGAAAAATAAGCCCTATGACACAGTGTGTGAAAAGGTAAATTCATCCTTGAGCCTCATTTCTAAGGATTCTGATTCATATATCTGAGATAACAGCTTTGATCTGTTACTGAATGATGTAATGTTCAAATATGTATAGATGTATGTGTATATATATGTGCATATATACTTTTATCTCTCTGTTTCCACTGTCAGGAAATTGTTTGGACTATTCTGTATTTTTAATTTTTTGATAAGATTAGGAATTTAAAGCAAAAGTTTTAGCTAAAGCTTTAAAACAGTAATTTTATTTCTACTTGTCTCACTTTCTACCCAATGGTGCATCTGCATTGCCTCTAGAAATAGAAAATAGTGATTTCAGTTTTTATAGAAATACATAAATGCCCAAAGTTTTCAGAAACTCTGTTTACAATTTTTATTCATCTGATTCTCTAGAACAAACCAAATACCATTCCTGGGGCTCTTTGTAACATGTTGGGGGGCATGGTTTTTTTTTGTGTAGACAATTGGAAAAAGAGTTAAAAAGGTCTTCTACTGAGCCATAAGAATTCTGCCTGGACTTAGTCCGCATTCTTGAGATTGCTGGAAATGGAAAGCTCTCGTTTCAATTAAGAGTAACATGAGGAAGTGCACACTTGTGAGAACTGGGCAGTTCATGCAGTCTCTCACTTTGGCTTCTGCTTGGCAGAGATGTGCTCTTGGTGGTCACGAAAAACGTTAATGTATTTTTCCATGCCAAAAATCTATAGTTTTCCTAATTTCCTGCTCTGAGTAGGAATTTCTTATAGGGAAAGGGAATCTTTTCAAACTAAAGTTCCAAGTTTAAGAAATTATACTTAAAAAATATTGGACAAGAAGAGTTTCTGCTCTCAGTCTCCTAAAACCCCACAGTGTTTGAACTGGTTTTGCAGAAAGTCCATGAAGCCTCCTTTTTGGACGTGAATCTTCTTACATATGCATTTAATTATGTACATATATGGTATGTTCTATGCCTGTGAAAGGGTGACTTCAACGGGCAGGTATGTGTCTGAAGAATTAGTTTCTGGGTGAGGTGCTGTGTGACTATTCTTGGGCTGGAAATTGTACTCTCACTTTAATGATCTCAGTGACAAAGATGGGTAAAGCTACGATTTCAAATATCTTTTAAACTTTGCTCATGTTTGTCAAACTTGAGAAACTAAGTATTTCAGAAGCAGACTTACTTGAATCTATGCCCAAACAAAACCTTTGAACTATATTTTTTGGTGGTGCACATTTTGCCTCTGCATTGTTCTTACATATTTACAATGGAGTTTCCTACAGTTTCCTTTTGAAAGTATGGCTATTCGACAGCTTTGTGGGTTTAACATTTCTATTAGAGTACGGATTTCTTGTACATCAGTGTGCCCTAAAGTTTAGTACCTACATGCAGCTCTCTTTCTTGTGCTTTCACAATTAGCTTTGTGTGCATTTTTTAAGAAAAGAAATCTGTAAGAATTGACTTTTTTACTGTTTACTTTTACAAAGTTTCATAGAACTTTTCTGGAGACATGTAAGAGCCCTCCCTGGGAGATATTGTGCCTCCTTTATGGACTTTGTTCTGGCTTTTCTTCCAGTGTCACCTCTGCCTCCCTGGGTTGCTTCTCACTGGAGCAGCACATTCCTGGGATTCCTCTCCATTCTTTCTTGGTTTGGGATTGCCATTCTGCCCAGCTTTGCTCACCTTGCCTCCTTCCTGAGGTCATATGAGCTTGATCAGACGAACAGGAGAGTGTGCAAAGTGCTTAAACAGAGTAAACACTAAAGTCACAGAATTTTTCTTTTTCTTGAAGTTTCTCCTCAGCCAATGAATTTTTAGACCCTTTCTGATGGGCCAGCCCTTTTTTAATTCTATACAAGTTTTCTTACTGTGAAAAAATCGAAGCAGTGATTTTACTATTGTCCCACCCCATAAACGTTTTAACTTTAACCTATCAAAAAAATGTAATGACTAAGTAGCCTTGTTATTTTTAATGTCAAATTATTGGTATCATTGGTGGTCAGACAAGTTGTACTTATAACTAATAAATGTGGGAATCTGTTTTATTACTATTTTTGGATACTCTTGCTGATTTAAAACCAGCACTTTCTTACCAAAAGCAATAAGATCAGATCAAAGTATCATTCCCAATTAGATCTTGTTAAAGCTCTTTATAATTACTTTTTTACCTCCACATGCAGAGTGATTTATTTCTCATGAACCTTCACAACACATATGTATTTTCATTCAGAATGTTGAACCAGATAAAAACAAAAGCAGAAACAAGCTTCTATGAGAATTTGATTTAACTTCAAAAATCTGTTTCATCTTAAAATCAAGCCAGAGTCTAAAATTTGCAGATATTTGCATATACCCGGTAAGCACAGAATCCTAGATCTCCAGCCTTTGTAACAGGGCTGAACATAAAGCCAGAGAGATACCCATTTTGTGGCCAGAAAATGGCTGGGGGAGGGGAAACTCTGTACAAGAAGTGTGGGGCATTCTCAGTAAGCCACCTTGTGACCTGAATATTGAAGGAATATTGAAGGACAGTGTTCTAGACTTTCCTGTAGTTCAAATTTTAAATAAACTACTTTTGCCCTTTTGGATTTCCTCAGCCACCTTTCCTAATTTATGTATTCCTAAAAGATGGGCTCCATTGTCATGTAGAGTAGTCTTGGCATGTGCCATCCTGTGTTCACCATCCTTCAGAATTCTTAAAGGAGTAGAAGAAACTTCCTAAGAGACTAGAAAAGTTTTGTGACTAAAATAATTGTTCGGTCATTTGAGCTTTTAAGGTGACCAGGGTTTAATACAGGCTAAGATCTTTGGATCATGCTGTGGTGTCACCTTTAAAAACAGAACTGTATAAGAAAAAAGTGACATGATCCAACATGGCATTGATTACAGTCTTGGCTGTAACAGAAAGAAAACCTATAAGAGGTGGGGCTACGTTTAAATAAATAGACTTGAAGGTCAATGACTTGTCCAAACTTGGAGATACCTTGGAGATAGGATGACGATGATGTGGATTACCAGGGTTCTCTTTGCACAGCTGAACCTACTCTTGTCCTCTTTCCTCCATCCACTCCAGTCCTACTATTGGATTGATCTTCTTTTGGTCTCTTTTCTAAGAAATGGCTCAGTTGATGCTGCTCAGTTTTAACAACAGAGGTAACACATCCTTAGTTAATACTTACTGTGCCTTTTGAAATGCCAGATGTTTCCTGGATTTATTTAATCCCAGACAGCGTGTTGTCCTCATTTTCATTTAATGAATGAAGACTCTGAAGCATAGTCTTACAGGTACTTGGCTTCCTCCCCTTTTATGGTGGAGGTGGTTTGGAGTCAAAGCCACTTGGCCCAAGGTGCTTTCGTGTTTCCACCAAGTACCTTCCATCTCTAGTCTCTGAACTTTGCCTTAAGATCTTGGTCCTCCTCCAGGTCAGATACATATATGTTATGACTCATCTTCTGAAAGAAATGAATACATTGCTAGCCTGGCTTTTGTGTATTTGCATTTCTTTTCTAAGAATTAGGGGAAGCAAGGATAAGAATGCATTGGAACAATAAAGAGATTTATCTCAAGATAGAAGAGTTACTGCATGACAGACAAAGGGACTTTCATGTTAACCTGTGTGTCATTTTTTCCTAGGTTCTCCATACTATGACAACGTTCGTCCCCTCTCTTACCCAGATTCGGACGCTGTGCTGATCTGCTTTGACATCAGTAGACCGGAGACTCTGGACAGTGTTCTAAAAAAGGCAAGTGTTGGGGCTTCAGCACAGTTCAGTGCTGGAAGATAGGAAAGATAGAAATGTAGTTAACCAGGGAGCTCAAAGGCTCTAACTGATTCCCTGCCTCATGTTTCTAAATAAAATACTGGAAAACACACTATCACAAGGTTCATGCATGTGTTTCACTAGTTTTGATGATCTTTAAGTTTTTATTTCATAAAGCAAATACTCTTTATAAGCATCCATATTTGTTTTCTGGGACAAATGATGTAGCTAACATAGTTATGTTTTAGTGCTGTCATATTCATATCTGACTTCATTTCATCTTTCCATCTATCTTTCCTCCTTTCCTTCTGTGAAATAGATTTTCATTTCAAATATTGAAATGAACACAGTAATAGTTATATTAATAAAGAAACTTTTTAGTTATGATACTGTTTTTTGTGAAATGTACTAGTGTGAAAAGAATAAAAATACATCTCCAGACATGGTACTATATGATTTATGATTAAATACGTGTCATACTAATACTAATAATTAAGGTAGACAGGTTCTGGATAGTAGCTCTGGATAGAAGAGGAGGTCAAACGGGGGAGCACTTGTTAAAGATGAGGAAGGAGTCCTAAGGGGGCCTGGGAGGGAGGGGCAGTCCTTGGCCTCCAGCCAACCTAGGGCTCAGCTCACACCTACTCAGTGCCTGGTGTTCAGGGGAAAGCACTGATTAGCACTTTTCTTGCCCTGAACTGTGCTGTGAATTTCAGAGTCAGACCTTAGTGGGGTACCCTCTTCTCCTAGCACTGAGGCATAGGCACAGGAAGTGGCTGAGGACAAGGAGCCACCCATGTGACCCAAACAGAGTGAAGGGATTGAGAAGAAGAAGCACTGTTAGAGAGGATCTGGGTTTTTTTTTTTGTTTGTTTTTTGTTTTGGTTTGTTCTGACTTGTTTGGGTTCTTTTGCTTGTTTCTTTTTATCTTTTGTGTTTTAATTCTGTGTACTTTTATTTTGTTTTTCTTTATGATATGTGATCGCTTGGCTTCTGTGTCTTTATGAAATTAGGGTGTGATATATAATCATCCTTCTCTGTTTTCACTAAACATCATAAACACAGTTCAGTGAAATATGACTTTCTTAATAGATCAAAGGCTTGTTTTAAGTCCTTTTAGTTTCGAGTGCTGTATATCAAGCACAAATAGGGCCAATGTTTGCTGGATTCTGGCAGGAACATACCTTTCCTGTCTTTAATGCTTGTAAACAATTGCTAGACAGGCAGAGAGAAGCTACAATCATTACCCAGCTGAAGAACATGTCTAGTTCTGTCTATAGATAAAAGAGCTTGCTTATTTACTGGAGGTTTTTACTTGATATACTATCAAATTATATCATGAAAAGTCATTTTCCTGTTCTATTTTGCTTTTGTCTTCTAAGACCAAATGAATAGTGTCTTTGGCCTTATGGATATTAATGAGTGTGCTTTCCATTCATTGGAGGTTTAAGGCTCGTGATAACCCCTCCTGTGGTTGGTCTTGATTTATTCAGTCCTTGAATATCAAAGAGGTTAGAGTGATTTAAAGCAGGAAAGACCTTGTACTCCTTTTTTTTTGTTTTCTCATTTTATATTTCAATTCTGATTCCAGTGCTGTCTAACACTTCTTCGTAAATGATCTTAAATCACTCTGTAAAGAAAGAAGGAAGGAAGCTATCACTTTCCCCAAATTAGCTTCTGTGGGAAGTACACTGCTTCCCTGAATACCCTAGTGTCCCCAGAATTCACCTTTAAACCTGGAATGGTCTCCTCTGGTGGTCTTTAAGTTATGCTTGCAGCATGTCCTTTTTATCTAATATTACATTGGATGCATGACTTCATTGCCCTTGCTCTTCTGTGAATTCCTTTCCGGAAGACACAGCTGTGTCTTAATCTTTTTTGTCATCAGCACAATACTTCATAGAGCACTTAAGACATATTTATGGATGTGGGTTGAAGAGTCTCAGCCCCTATAACCCCGGTCTCCAAGAGCTAGAGCTCTCTTGTGAACACTTGGAATTCCCGATCCCATCCTGATGATGGGGAGCTCATATGGGAGGAAGCAAAGCCACAAGACGTCATCTGCTTGCTTTTAAAGAGGACAATTAGAATTCCCTGTGAGGTTTTAATAATTCCGTGGAGGTTATGAAACAACTGGTCAAACTAAACTAAATTGAAATTGTTACAGTTTACGCAACTTTAAAAGAACCAGCACCAAGTTTCTTCTGCAGGACGTAGGAGATTATTCTTTGCGCTTGAGATCTTCTGTGTTCATTTAATTACTTGAATGAAAGGAAGCTCCTTGAAGGCAATACATTTTATTTTATTGTCACTAAGGTGCCTGTTAGAGCCTGCAGCAGATGACTACATGCTCAATCTTTCCTGATGGAATCAATGAATGCATACTTGTGCTGGGTTTGGCTCTCTTAGGCCCAGCCTCTACTTGGAAAGTATTAGCTCAACAGATCCAATGGCATAGTCACTGGTTAGCCTATATAATTACTGTCTTTCAGAGATACCACCAATAATTAAGAAATTGTTCAAGCTACTTTCTGACAACACCCAATAAATCTCTTTCAGTAGGGTAGATGAGTCACAGAGTAGTTAATAATATTCATTGGCATTCTTTAATGGATCCACTTTAAAAAGTAGCAGGAGTTAATATCCATCTAGGAAATAAATCTAAGTTTATGCCTTCATTTGAAGTAACACTCTTTTCAATGTTTTTTTTTTTTTTTTGAATACTCCTTCCAATTTCTGTCAGTGGAAATATCATTTCATCATCTGGATTCCAGTATTTGCTAATTTTTCTTTTTTTTTTCCTCCCTTTATAGTGGAAGGGTGAAATCCAGGAGTTTTGCCCCAATACCAAAATGCTCTTGGTTGGCTGCAAGTCTGACCTGAGGACAGATGTTAGTACATTAGTAGAGCTCTCAAATCACAGGCAGACACCAGTATCATATGATCAGGTACGTATGGTATCAGTGTGTAAAGTGAATTTCAGGGTAAAAGAAATGGATTATAACTCATAATAAATATAATGAAAGTAGCTGCTTTTTTCTATGACGTGAACTGCCCTGTCATTCAATAGGTAAAATCACATGATATTTGCACACTTAAATAGTTGATCATGTGCTACTCTGGTATATCCCTACAACTACCACTGTTTTTAAAACTCAGAAGATTTGAAAAAGAACATGGTCAAATTTACTAGTTCTCTTTAAGAGTGCTAATCTAACTATATTCAGCAGCCTAATAAAATTCTAAAACAAGCTGTTGCCAGTAGATTAATTCATAAAATCATCTTTTAGTATTTCTACAGGTGTTTCCAACCAGCATTAGAAAGATGAATTAATTTCTCTTAATACCCACAACCAGATCCTGATAAGGGCTCATCTTGAAATAGCTAGAATTGTATTTCACATTCATCATTTAAAATAATACAACCAGGACTGGGGAGTTAACTCTGTGGCATAAGCGCCTGCCTGGCAGCGCAAGGTCATGAGTTTGATTCTCGGTATCAAAATAAATAGATAATTAAAGTTAAAAAAAATACAACCTAGGGCTGAGGCTATATTTCAGTGGTAGGACACTTGAAGTATTGGATTTAATCTCTCAACACCACAAAAATTTAAAAAAGAAAAAATACACTGCAATGTTGTTCATCTTGCATTTGTAATTTAAAATTTTTTGATTATTTAAATTAATAATTTTGATTATGTACACTTTTGTTATTATGTATCCTGACAGCATCATCCACACATGCAAATTACATATTTTATGTTTCACAGAGTAATAGATGTCATGATCGTATTCCTTTTCTCAATTTGTTTTGACTGTAAGATGCAGTTGCATAAATTGATTTATTTAAAATTGATTTTAAATTCCATCCATTGCCCTTATATTTTGCACAACCTGTTGACTAACTTTGACTGATATGTACAGTAAAGAAGAGAAAAAGTGAGTGCCCATGAGCGGCCAGGCACAGGCACTGAAGGCCACACTGTGCCCCTGCCAGAACTATTTGTAAAATATAGCTTGTGCTTCAGCTGATGTACTTCGGCTGATGTCCTGCACTAGGAAGATTCTGTGCTTGTAGAGATTGTGCAGTCTTCCGGGGTAACCAGTTACTCTTAGTTAAATTTGTTATTGAGAATGAATGGTCTCCTTAGCTCCTCTCCTAATTCTTTGTATCAACTCATAAGAAGTATTTGATGATCAGAACCCTCATATACTAATGACCCAGTAACTTCAGATGAGTAGTAATATTTGAGCACCTTAGGCCTGGGTCTTGATTACAAATATTCATGCAGTAATAAATAGAGAACTGTAGTTATGAGTAAGTTTTGTTTGCACCAATACTTGGAAAATTCAGTCGACATATTAGAAAATGATTTTGCAGTGAGAATTGTTTTGTGTTATTAGAAGACACTGTATAGCTTTTCCCCAAGGTCTTATTGCTAATTAAAATCCCCTCTTTTCTTTCTCAGGGGGCCAATATGGCCAAACAAATTGGAGCAGCTACTTATATTGAATGCTCAGCTTTACAGTCAGAAAATAGTGTCAGAGACATTTTTCATGTTGCCACCTTGGCATGTGTAAATAAGACCAATAAAAATGTTAAAAGGAACAAATCACAGAGGGCCACGAAGCGGATTTCACACATGCCTAGCAGGCCAGAACTCTCGGCAGTTGCTACGGACTTAAGAAAAGACAAGGCAAAGAGCTGCACTGTGATGTGAACCTTTCGTTATCTTTAATGAGGACAAATGAATCTAGTGTAAAAACAAGAGCAAAACACAAAGGTGAAGTCTGAATGAAGTGCACAGCCAAAGCCACCTACACCGCAGACTTAGGAGGCCCCTGAGAGGGCGCCCATTGTTGGAATCCTGTCCTTAAGCTCGGCAAGCAGACCGAGTGTGAGAAGTGAATACCTTGAGGTGTTTTGAAGTGTGACTTGAAAAATATGCCAAAAAGGAGTAATACAAATGGGCTAGAGATAGGTGAGGAGGAAGGCGAGTACCTCCAAGAAGAAAATGACACTCTGAGTGGTGCTCGCGTTTTTGTTTTGTTGTTTTCTTGTAACATTCTATTCATGGATTTAATTTTTAAATGTTTTATTCTCCTTTACAAAAAAGATATAGTACTGTACCATCTCATTGGGGAACTGGCACTGTGACCTTAGCATTTAGTTTTCTAGAGGATGTGATCTAATTTCCTCCTAGCTCATCATTAAAGTGGAAATTGTATCAGGACCCGTGGGATTCCAGAGGGAAACTTCATGAGGCTTTGAAATGTTGCCCTCCTGAAGATGACTGCTGAACAAGATGGTTCGAGAGGAAGGCGTTTTCAGCCTTGCAAGATGCGTAGACCAGCACTACAAAGATTGCCTAGATCAAATAGAAATGTTGATTTTTATTCAGTCTGATGGTTCTGTTCAAAATTGTGATTGTCAGTTAACAAGTGGCAAATTGCTTAATGTAATATTTTTGTGCGCTGTTTAGAAAAGAGGGTGTGTGGATTTTTTTGGCCATCATTGATGAAAATAACAAAGTCAAATGAAAGTGTCTTGGTTTGTGTCATAGAATGATCCAAGGGAGAAAAACATAGGTACTGTTTTCACCAGGAGAGGTAATGAATGAAGGAGTAGAATTAGAAAGCACAGTTTGTGAGTAAAGGTGAGAGGAAATACATTACCAAATGTACAAAGCAGAAGGACTCTTATTTTGTGATGAAGCTCCAATTGGCAGCATCTAGTGATCTGTTGGTTTATTTCACTTTCCTTAAATGAGCATCCATTTGAGAAAGACCCACTTATCCGAGCATTAGAGAATCCCTAGTAGAAAGTTAAACAATGCCAGTCCTGACATTACACTAGGGTCTTTCTCTTTCCTTCCTTCCTTTCTTCTTTGTTTCCTTTTTTTTTTTTTTTTTTTTTTTTTTTTTTTTGGTGGGGGGCATTTCTAAGAGAGAGAGTGCTAAGACTCACTTAACCAGATTCACCCAGGGTCCAGAATTAAAGCTTGATCTTCATTGTTACATAAATAATCAGCATTTAAAATAGTTTACAGATAGATTTTTGACCTGTTCTATCTAGGGATTCTTTCAGAGAAGAAGCCAGATCTGACTTGTTTATTGTTGGCGCTTGTTAAAAACGAGCTTTCTTTCCAATGATAATGCTTCATTTTTGAAGTGTTAAAGCTGTGCTCCCATTAAAATGTGGCAGGAGAGTAGATTAAGGTAATTACAACACTCAGTTCAGTGTCTTACAAGCACTTTGTTTTGTCTCTGCAAAAAAAAAATACCATTCAAGTCATTTCCCACAAAATATAGACATTTTCTGAAAATAATGTCCTTTGGTTGATGCAGCATTATGCTTTGGGCAGTATTACAAAATAGCTGGCAAGTGCATTCTGTATTTAAATATTGTAAAAAGAAAATAAGTTATAACTGTTATAAAGCAGAATTTTTGTTGCATTTTTTAAAATGTTGAAGTCACTTTGTATGTTTGTTTGGTCAGTGTTTCTGCAGTATTTATTAAAACATACTTTTTTTTCCCCTCTTCAAATAAAAACGTAACCATGTCTTTGTCTAAATGTGGCCTAAATGGTCATTTATTCTCTACTTCCTAATTTTCCCATTTCACTTTGTTGTTTAATAGAGACGATTTTAGAATCTGGCTTAACTTTTTCTGAATAGGCAGGGTTTGAAATTTTTAAATTCTCAGCAGTAGGAATTGTCAGAGAAAGATAAATCTGAATTGAAGGGGCTTTTATGATGATTTTAAATCATAAGAAAACGAGGCATATTTAGATTAAATTAATTTTAAAAGCCAGTATACTGCCTAGAATTAAGCCAAAGAAAGGATAGAAATTTCCTGAAGTTACTAGTTAAACAGTGTGATCTGTTCTCAGACCACAGACTTAATTCTTTCTTCCCTCCTCTTCTCTCCTCTCTTTTTTCCTTTCTTTCTCCCTTTCTTCCTCTCCCCTCCCCTTTCCTCCCTTCTTCTTAGTAGCAGAGATTGAATCCAGGGCCTTTGCAATGAGGTATGTCCTCAGCTTTTTGAAATTTAAAATTTGGAGATGGGGCCTCATTAAGTTACTTCATTATTGAGGTTTTTCTGGAACTGAGGATCCTCTTGTCTGAGGCTTCCTGAGAGACATGTTTAATTCTAATGTGACCATAGGTAGCTACTTTGTTTTCTGGGGCTCTGAGTGTTGATCCCTACCTCAGCTATCCACCTTGACAAGGCATATTCTTGTTCACATTAGCCAATTTTGTGGATGATTCAAGAGTGAGCAATTTGTGGAAGGAAAACACTAGTCTCATAGCATCCTAAACGATACAACAGTATCATACTGGTTTCCCTACTGGCTCAAACAAATTTAGCATGGAATAGCTGAGGATAGAGGCCTTGGTGTCCAGAGCTAAAGTCAATTCTGTTCTGTTAAAATCCTTACTTTACATATGCCCAAAGACATTCCATGTGGAACTCTTTCAACACAGTTATGACACTTTGTGTAAAAATCGCATTTTTGTGTATTTTTTAAGTGGCTTTAGAAATTTTTCAGTTCACAATTCTCAGAAGCAGAAAGCAAAAAGGAAACCAGAGAATTCATGAATAAACAAGTAAAGATAGCCATGTAAAAAACAAATGTAAAAGCACAAGGATTAACCGAATATCTTTGTAATTCCTTCCTGTCATCAAATACTAAAGAGAATAAAAGTACTTTCCAAATCCTTAGTATTGAGTAACTTCTAAACATAACGTCTAAGTCAGGCTTACAAAAAACTTGTTTCTCAACAATCACTAACATAAAAAAACAATCACTAACATAAAAAAAAAATAAAATGAAACAAAACATACAACTGAGTTTCTGCTGACCTTGGCAATATTTTATACATCATACAGTAATGTTTCCCTCTGGTCAATTGTTCTTTCTCACTAGCTTTAATTTGTTCAAGCAAAAAGAAAAAAAGTTTGTCTTCAGCTTTGAGCATGTATGCTTAACAAACATTTCTTCTATGTATTCTGTGAAAATTCCTTTCTGTTGGATAATGATCATGATTAATGCCTTTTGAAATACTAAAAGGTGATTTTCAAGCCCTTAGTAAGACTTCAGCTATGTGTTTTTCACCTCTATTAATCCTTTCCAGGAACCATTCATCAGAAGATACTAGACTTACTGGGAACATATCCTAACTGTAAACTTAGAATGCAGGAAAGTTTTATTTGAAGGGCTTTTTAAATGACCTCATGCTCTAAGCCTTTTTAAACTCTAAAACTTGTTTTTCTTCTTTTTGATGGATTACTTTGACATTAGCATTCTGTTAAAAACCACAGTGTTTGTTTCCGTTATTTTTCCATTCAACAAAGACTGAGTGCCTAATGCATGCCTTCTTCTTAACTATGGTGTAGTGTTTCTTGGTTTGGCACTTAATCAGGTCTAAAACAATCTTTGTATAAGAGGGACTTTATTATCCAGTCAAGAGGCAATCACAGTCAAACACTGTGGTCTTCTGCCAGGGGTGATTGCTATTGACTCATGGATCCTGGGTTGGTAGTAAATACTCCAGAAGGTAGTTAATTAGGTATAGTAGTGCAATAGCTACAGGTAATACAGCATTTATTACCACTGCAGTACCATGGTGCAAGCAGAACTTTGGAGTGAATAATAATGACTGAAGTCCATTTAGGATGATTATGGAGCACTGGGAATGACTGTATCTCCGCTCACCATTGTAGCATGTGTATGGAATATAGATTTTTGTGGCTACTTAGAAGTCCAGTAGGGAAAGAACTCCACAACTGAGTGTGAACAGCTCCCAAGCAGTCATTTCATACAGTGTGCTGGCTCTGCTATAGATTTGTGTTTTCTCCCGTGAAATCTTTAGTTGCTGAGTCAATCAGAAAAGAGAAATTGAAAAATTTGGCATAAGTGAAATAAAATTGTACTACAAAATTGAAATTAATCCCAAGATGAAAAAATCTGAAGCAGTAATTACGTGAAGATAGAGAAACCACTCTGTAATGTTAAAATATATATATTTTGTGGAACCCTAAACAGTCTTTTAAAAATATTCACTAATAGAGAATGCTAAGGCTTTTCAACTCTGCTCCATCGTGGGAACACAGGAAACAAAATCTAATGAATCCAAAAATAAAAATTTTGTGGAACTTTCAAAGCCATTTCTTTTGAATTTTGGTTATTTTGAAGGAAATCATTAGTGCCTTTCTTCCATGATCACAGAGGAACTGACAGAGCCCTTCTACTTTAAAGCAGCAAATAGAAAGGGGAGAGAGAGAGACAGAGACAGAGAGAGACAGACAGATAGAGAGGGACAGAGACACATTTCAGAATAAAAAGTGAAAGTTTGGTTGATAAACATGACCACCTTCATTGCCAGAAAAATGGCTTACACTGAAATCGCCCAAATTATATGCAAGGCACTGTTCTAAATGGTCTGTATAACACACTTTTTCCCATCACAGCTACACACAGCACGTTAAGCACTATCAAGTTCCCTGTTTCACAGCTGGACACACAGGCATCTTCTCCAGGGTCACACAAGGGCCAAGACTGGAATGGGCAAGAGGCATTCTCTGCAAGGCCACTCTTCCACAACACCACCATTTCATGGGTAAACCTTCATACCTGTGGCGTGGTGTCCCGACACAGCAGTGTGTCATGGCCCTTCAGCTACTGTCTAAGATACAGTGGGTCACATCCATCCTGAACTCTCCATGTCTGCACACTGAGCCCTTCTCCTGATTCTAATCCCTGATTCCTACCCCTCTCCTAGTCCCTATGTCATCCTTTCTTTTATCCTTATCATTTGTCTGCCTTTGTGTGGTAAGACAATTATGAGAGAATGATAAAAAGGACCATGGATGGCTTGTACATGTGACACTCCACATCCAAAGATTCCTAAACTGTTCTAAAACCAGTGGGTTCTACAGTAATAGTTATAGAACCCTTAAACCTCAAATGGGGTGTGGAAGTGCCAACATTAAAACATACAAATTGCTGAAAAGAAAAAAAAAAAAGAATTGACACTGACTGCTGTGCAACTACAAATCTGAGTTTAATGCTTTTATGGGTAAGATGAAAAAATGATAAAGGGCAATATTAACCACAGCCTCTAGAAGCAGCTTCCTTATTTTTAAGAAGCTAGTTAAAAGGCATAATTACCTTGTTCACTTGTGGTTTCTCAAGGATGAGCACTCAATAAGTTGCTATTTATAATGCTGAAGATGAACTAAGATCAAGTCACTTTCCTTCACAGGGGCTGCTAATCCCAGAGAACAGGGAAGGACATAGAAAACTTGACTCAATTCAAACAACGAAGCGGGTTTCAGTTCAACTTTTGGTCTTCAGAGCAATTGGATTGTCAGTAGAGCTGGCAGAGATGGTACGTGTTACTTTTCATTAGGAGTATGTTATTAGGGTATTCTCTTCTCAAGGAGCCATTTCATGATTCTGGAAAATAAATTTATTTCACCGTTCCTGCTTATTTAGTACTTAACAGTCTCACCTGCTGGCCTTCATTTACACTTGAGCCAAGTGATCCTTTGTAGTCATTTGTTCATTTTCCTTCAATCATATTTTGTAAAAAGATTTCATTCCATGTGACTTTTGTGGTCTTTTTAATATCACCCTAAAATGACAAAAGTCTAAACTTTCTCGGTCACTGTGTAACAATCTTCACTCTGATTTTTGAATATGAACAGCTAGGTTCCTTCCTAGATAGCAGACTTTCCTTATAGGAGAGTGAGTACTCGTGGTCTTCTGAAATGCTCCAACTCTTAGATCCATAAGAAAGAGACTTGTTTTATCACCAATGTATACCCTTAACCTACTAGAGTAGGCAGTAAGTAAATTAATGAGTCAATCAACATATCAATGAATACCTTAAACTACTAAAAGAAAGGGTAGTTTTAGAGTTGCTGAGCCCCAACATGAATTATCACTAGCATTGGATTAAATGGAATTGTTGCTTTCTGTGGCTCCCAAGAAACTTGTATGGGCCTGGAAATGCCATAAAGGAAAGCAAGACTTACACACAGGAAAGACTTGTTCGTATGTGAAATCTGGTATGTCCTTGACATAAACACCCCCACCCCTCACTTTGCCCCTGCTTTGGCACAGCAAGCATCAGTCGTTATGGTCTGAATGTGCCCCCCAAATTCACACAGTTGGAAATTGGAGCCCAGTGTGGCAAGGTCAGGATACAGGTGTTTTTAAAGTATTCAACAGGCTCTTGCTCTCCAATGTGGCGAGGTTATTGTTTCAGTCCGTATAGGAGAGGGTTCACTCTTCTACAGCACTTGACATCTCCTCCTCTGCCGTGCCTTTCTGCCTTCTGCCACATGAGAATATAGTGTCACAACACTCACCAGATCCTGGTACAATGATTCTGGACTTCCCAAACTCTAGAACTGTCAGAAATAAGTTGCTTTTCTTTATAAATTACTTAGTCTCAGATATGCTTTTATAGCAGCAATGACTCAAATAAAAGCATATGAAAATGTGATAGAACTTTCCCAATTCATCACGGTGCTACAGTGTACCACTAGTGAATTGACATATTATTACAACATATAATTATATTATATTTTCATTATGACTTAAACTTCTCAATTTTCTAATCTTCCACAAGAGTAGTACAGAAATGGGAGATGTAATAGTTTTAGTGACAGGAGACTCTTTCATTTTTTTATGTTCCCCAGAGGCAACTGTTGACATCCTGAATTCTATGCTCCCTTCCATGCATCGTTCCGTCGTCCTTTTTGGTCACTTGTTTGTGACCCTTTTTTTTTTTATCAGTACCGGGGATTGAACTCATAACCACCTGCTTGCAAGGCAGGTGCTTATGCCGCTGAGCTAAATCCCCAGCCCCCATTCCCTTAACTATATAAATTCTCTTGCTACTTTTTCTGTTCTGCATGTATTTGTGAAAGCAAGTCTTCCCTGCAAAACTATGGCATAATAAATAAACACAAGTAAGGAAGCAAAGTATTGTGATGGATTGAATAAAAGGTCTTTATCTCCTAATAATAGTAGCTTTATTTAGTAGATGACACCCAAGGTGTGATTAGGTTAAAGACCTTGAGATGGGAAGATAATTCTGGATTGTCCTGGTGGGCCCTATGTAATCAACAAATCTTTATATAAATTACATAGGTGAAGTCAGAATCACATAGTGACAGTGTGATGCCAAAGGCTAAAAGACAGAGAAAGATTTGAAAAATTTGTTCTTTGAAGATGGAGGAGGGAGCCATGAGTTAAAAGATGTTCTTGGTCTCTGGAAGCTAGAAATGTCAACAAAAAGGAACACTTCTCTGATGTCCCAGGACTGCAAACCTATGGAATCTAAGTTTTACTTTAGACTTCTGTTAGGTTTGTATCTAGATCTTCCCCCATTTGAGCCTATGTACTTACTCAGGCACGGATACTGGAAGGTGATTGGAATATAGAATTTACAGTTGACTTGCTGTTAAGGGGTAATACCTGTTGGAAGAAGAGATCACTGAGGGTGTGGTTTGATTCCTCAGGGTTCCTCTTTCAATTTCTTCCTGGCCGCCAGGATATGAGCACCTCATGTCCCTGCATGTCCCTCTGCCATGCCATCTTGCTTGGAGCCAGCGGAATGCAGACTGAAGTCTATACACACCGTGAGCCAAAACAAACTTTTCCTCTTTTAAAGTGTTGGTGTCAGGTATAGTGTCTCAGATGA